AGATTGTTTACTTTAAATTAGTATAGGCTTGGTTTTATGTTTTGTTATTCATGTCTGTGGGAAGCCTAAGGAGTTTCATAAGGTCCAATTTGGCAGGACAACACTTCCATACGCTGTCTTCTCTGACAATGTTGTCAGAGCATGTTAGGGAAGGTCTAGAGTAGGTCTTACTAAGGCATGGTTTTTACTATTAAGGTACTTTTCTAATATTTCAACTGCATGTCACAGTTGTTAAGGATATCTCCGCCTTGGCAGGCCCAGAAACTCAATGTCCCTTAGTACTGCTTTTATGTCAACACACTTGACCTTTGGTACCTCTGTTCCATTTTCAACTGTGTAGCAACTATCTGGTAAGCGTCAGATGGTCTTGCTCTTATATACAGCTCTGACTTGTGACCCCATATGGATTTCTGAGGCCACCTCTCTGAATAGCTCTCTTCTCGGATGCCAACCCCATAGATTCCAACTGCTTCAGCTGCTCCCCACTATGATCTCTGCCTTCTCAGCTCTGCACTCCAACCCATTTACACCATAGGAAGCTGTGGAGCTCAACTGCTTAAGTTTCCCTTCTCTTGGAAATTTGTTTTGTGCTGCCCCAAAACAGTTGCTCAATATATCTTATCCAGTTTTTATAGCTATTACTAATCTGGAAGGGCTAGTCAAGTTATTCAACCACAGACAGAAGCAGAAATACCCCCTTGTCTCAGATTTTCTGAAATGGAACTAAGCAAAGAGGAGCAGCCCCTCTCATATTTTCTTTGAAAATATGACCTGCTGGAAGTCTTGGTTAGAGCTTTGAATGAGGGAGCTGGTGTGAGAAAAGGAAGTAGAGAGAAACAGAAATGGAGTTGATGAAACAAATTTGGTAGCATTCAAGTCCTAGTTTCAATTGTTCTCAACTCCAGGAGACTTCTGCTCCTTATGCAGTTTGCTTATATAAACCATTAAACTTCCCTCTTTTTCTTGTATAGTTGATTGAATTTTTGTCTGGAACACTTACTGAGAAGAGTCTTTTAAAAGGAACTGCACAATTAGAACTGAATATTGATGAACCACATATGATGTTAAGACTTTGGAAATGTAATGATGTTTACAGTGTTTGATTGTCTTATTGGAGCCATTGAGTCAAACATGTGAGGGAAGAGAAGTTTCCAAGGTCAGCCATTATAGCAAGTGACGATCTCCCTCTAGTTTTGTGTGTGTGTATGTTAACAGATTCTCTGCCCTTATATTTTAGCAATTTTTGGTGTTACAGCATTATACAAATGAGAAGTCAAAAAGGCAAACAATCTTCAGATTTTTTTAAATAAAGGGACTTTATTTTTTTAAATGGTTTACCTTCTTTTTTAAAATCTTATATAAGGGTAATATGCAAATAGATCAAATGGCAAAACAACCGAACAACCAATCAAAGCGTAATATGCTAATGCTATGCTAAGGATGCTCAACAGCTTGCTATGATGTGCACTGACCACTAGGGGCAGACAGTCAACTGGTTGACCAGTCACTATGATGTGCACTGACCACCAGGGAGTAGATGTTCTGACGGGTAGGTTAACTTACTGCTGGGGTTTGGCTGATCAGGACTGAGCAAGATGGGCCGGACATGCCCTGGAGCCCTTCTGCAGGCCCTCCCCAGTCGATTCGTGCACCAGTGGGGGCCCTCAGCCTGGCCTGTGCCCTCTCACAGTCTGGGACCCCACAGGGGATGTTGGAGAGCTGGTTTCAGCATGATCACACAGGCCACTCCCCTTGGGAGGGCGCCAGATGCAGGGCTCATGGCTGGCGAGCGCTGCTGTGGCAGCGTGAGCCTTTCCCGATCAGGACTGATTGGGCGTGAGCTTGCGGCAGGCACAGTGGGGCCGGGATGAGCGGGAACGGCAGGTAGGAGCTGCAGGCAGCGTTGGACTGCGGGTTTCGGCTCAATCCCTGAAGGCCACCCAGTGGGACCCCACCCATGCACGAATTTGTGCACCGGGCCTCTAGTATTTATATTTTTTTAAATTTTATTTCAGAGAGGAAGGGAGAGGGAGAAAGAGATAGAAACATCAATGATGAGAATCATTGATTGGCTGCCTCCTGCACACCTCCTACTGGGGATTTAGCCTGGAACCCGGGCATGTGACCTTAACTGGAATCGAACCAAGGACCCTTCAGACTGTAGGCCATCGCTCTATCTGCTGAGCCAAACCAACTGGAGCAAAGGACATATTTCAGAAATCACTTTGAAGTCTGATTATGTATTTTCCCTAGAATCAACCTTTCATGTATATTTTATATTCTGCATTTTTTCTTTGTGGGTCAGTAGCAAGTGACCTGAATTGACAAGATTCTCCCTATATTACCCCTTCCATAACTCTTCAGCCTCATTTTTCTCCTCCTTGCTCATGATTTTCTAGATTCACAACTGTAATGTTTCAGTTAAGTAAAAACCTGAAAATTTGGAACCTTACAGACCTTGGAACCTTGTTTTATTTTTAATAGCTCTTATCACTATTTTAAATTACCTGGCTCATGTTGTTTACCTTGTGTATTGTCTGGCTGCTCCCCAGTTCAATGTAGTAAGTTTTATGAGGAAAGAAACCTGGTCTGTCTTATCCATGCAGATTCTTACTATTGTACCTAGAACAATGCTGGGCACATAGGAAGCATTCAATATCTATCATAATAAAAGCATAATTGCAAATTGACCAAAAGGCTGAACAGCAGAACGACGATCCGGATGACCTTCTGGATGAAGCCACAGCTGCGAAAGGCCTACTCTTGCACAAATTTCGTGCATCGGGCCTCTAGTTTGTTGAATAAACTAGCACAGTAAACAGTCCTGGTGTAAAAATTTCTGCCATTCTAAATTTATTCAAATTTTAATGTTAAAATGTAGCTATTTGCATCACTTAAGTGTGATGTGTGTATATATTATCAGATCAGCAAAATAGTAAAACAAGTTTAATTTTTAATTTATTAGAACCCAGTGATGATTTCAAAAGCAGTTTTCATCAAATTAACACTTAATTCAGGGCAAAAATACATTTAAAAAACCTAAATCTTAAGGCAGAAGTAAAACATTATAAAATCAGCATGTCTAATACAGACTGTAGAATGTCAGAATTTTAAGAGATTCACATAGTATTTTATAGCATTTAAATGTTAATACAGTTGGAAATATTACCAATTGGTTCAAGATTTCTCATTTTATAAAATGTATAGACTGCTAACTGAAGAAATTTTGCAGTGTAAGTAACAACTATCTTACAACCAAATAATTGTTTTTATGACAAAATAACTAAGGCAGGAAATTTCACTGTTTCCATTTGCAAAAATTTTACAGTATTAAACAAAAAGTATTTCTAGGAGTATGTTTTAGATTCATCTTCCCACTCTAACACCTAGAAGTTATACATTAATTCCCTTTAACTCCATTTAAAAAAAAAATCCATGAACTATCATACCAATTCATTTATAATCCTGACTCTACTCATAGCAAAGGCATGAACTGCTTACTTTGATATGGTAGAAAAAACAATTTTAGTAAATCACTATATCTTGTCCTAGTTGCTTAATAATTTCTGAACCCAAGTTTAATAATTTTTGTACCTCCAATAAGTGATAACCTTTTCTTTAAAAAAAATCTCTATAAATGTGAATTTTGGCTAGAACCTGAGTAAAGGGGGAAGAAAGCATTTAATGTTTATGTGCAATTACCAGTAACCCTTCTGAAACACAAAGTTAGCATCCTTAAATTTCTCCTTATGATCAAAACTTTTTATTTTGGGGGTGGAGGGGTTAGATTTAGAAGTGTTTTAACTCAGAAAACAAGAATTAGCTACATATTCTATTGAAAAGTGTCAAAAAAAGACAAATGCATTTAAAATAATTTTGTAAAATTAGCAAATATGAGGTTTATGGGTTCTTAACTAACATTTAAGTAATTACAAAGATTCATCTTTATTACAAACTTTTAAGCTACTTTAATAAAATGGCTGTAGACCTCACTGTACTTCTATTTATCTGTGCAATAATAAAAATCTGTTAAAAGTCCTTATTTAGTAATTCAGAAAAAGTCTAGTCAAATAATATCACTAAAACTACCAGAGAAGCTTTGAAATACTGATTGCAGATTCATTTCAAAGTTGACTTAACCTCTTTTAGAATATGGCATTTAAATAAATATATTCACTAACTTGAACTCTGAAAATTTAAAAATTTTAGCCAGTCCTGATTATAGTTAAACAGTACTGGTATTATGTGAAAAAAAAAATATTGTCAATCATGCATTTCACAAGTTCATGAACTAAGTAAGGTATAACTCATAAATATTATTATGTCTTTGCAGGTTATCTCAACTTTCATCAGGCCTCACCTGAAAGCTTACCTGCCAAAACACACCAGCACTCATCCTATATAATAAAAGACTAATAAGCAAATCGACCGAACAGCGGAACGACTGGTTGCTATGACATGCACTGACCACCAGGGGGCAGACGCTCAATGCAGGAGCTACCCCCTGGTGGTCATGCACTCCCACAGGGGGAGCGCCGCTCAGACAGAAGCCAGGCTCACAGCTGGCGAGCGCCACAGCGGTGGCGGGTGCCTCTCCTGCCTCCGCTGTCGGACATCCCCCAAGGACTTCCAGACTGCGAGAGGGCACAAGCTGGGCTGAGGGACCCCCTCCTCGAGTTCCGAATTTCATGCACTGGGCCTCTAGTGTAAAATAAAAGGAGTAGGGAAGTGATTTTGTACACATGGTGCCCAGTGTTTGGCTTCTAGGTTCCTGTTTTTTATCTAACTATTGTAGGTATAATTTCTGGAAGAGCATGTGATAAGGGGTGGGAACAGAACACCAGTTGAGTTAACAAGAATAAGTGCATAAAATGTTTTTAAGCTGAATAATTAACTATTCTCACTGTGGTTATGTTATGTGCAACTTATATAAACTGTACAACCATTTTTTCCTGTTTGTCCATTTGAGTAAAGAATTAGGCTCAATAAAATGTAAAATATATATTAGTTTGCTTTAAACGCAAAGACTACAGTTTGTTTACTTTGTTTTTGGCTCAACTGTAATACAACCAAAAAGGTCTCTGCATTAATTATACAATATGACAAAGTTCACATATGTACATGGGTACATTCCTTCATTAAATTTTTCCTTAAGTTTAACTCAATGTATCTTTATAACTGATACAACTGATCTTTACAGCAAAAGTCAAAAAGGACAAAGTAGAAATGATTCCATTTTACAGCACTTTAGGTTTTCTAAAGTTTCCTTTAGGTTTTAAAGGACATCATTTAAACGTTTTCCATAGTCTGCAGGATCCATTTGAAGTTCTCGTTCTTCATCATCTGAAAGGGAAATAATTATGTATCAAGAATATTGTTCATAAAATCATTTGCAGAAATCCAATTTTAAAAAGTCTCTTTTTTTCTCAGGAATTTTTCTTCTTTTTAAGGTAGTTTTCTGCTCATTATTTTACACAGTCTGCAAATAGTGTTCTATTTCTCAGTTGCTTGGCTAAAGAGGGAAAAGTCTGTAACTATTTTGGAAGATTACTTCATTTTAACAAATCTTTTAATAATAGATTGGAAAGATGGATGGATGGATAGATGGATGGATGGATGGAAGGAAGGGAGGGAGGGAGGGAGGGAGGGAGGTAGATAAATATAGTCAGCAAAACTTTGGGAACCCACAAACATTGAGAAGGTGATCCTTTTGTATATTATTTCTATATAAATGAAGTCATTTTAATTAAAGCTTTGGTAGAAACTTCTATGTATACTTTTTTCATGTCTTTAAAAATAACCTTTTTTAAATTATAAAATTAATCCTTAGTCATCAGATAAAAATTAGAAGATAAACATTACTCATAATCCTAACATTTTAGTGAATTTCTTTGCTTCTCTGCAAAGAGTTTACTAGTTAATTTCTTAAATAGAGTATACAAACCAAAACTTAATCTTTTCTTTACCAAAAAGAAAATATTTTTTTTAAATATATTTTATTGATTTTTTACAGAGAGGAAGGGAGAGAGATAGAGAGCTAGAAACATCGATGAGAGAGAAACATCGATCAGCTGCCTGCTGCACATCTCCCACTGGGGATGTGCCCGCAACCCAGGTACATGCCCTTGACAGGAATCGAACCTGGGACCTTTCAGTCCGCAGGCCGACGCTCTATCCACTGAGCCAAACCGGTTTCGGCAAGAAAATATTTATTACATAATATTGTTAGACAGTAATATCCCTAAAGTCACTGAGTAACTATATATATATTTGGCTGGGGGTGTTAATTCTCACCTGAGGATATTTTTTTCCATTGATTTTTAGAGAGAATGGAGGTGGGGGAAGGAGGAAGGGAGATGTGACACTTTGATTGGTTGCTTCCCACAAACTCTCTGATTGGGACTAGGGATTGAAACTGCAACCCAGGTATATGCCCTTTCTAGGAATTGAACCCACAACCCTTCGTTGTACTAGCCAATGCTTTAACCAGTGAACAAACTGGCCAGGGCGAGTAGCTATATGAAGCAACTCTACATAGTGCTTTGGAGTTTGACTTATTTGGCTACTCACAGGTTTTCCTGGGTCCTTTATAGGTATCACCTGTCACTTCACATTACTGTCAGTTTATCCTATATAATAAAGAGCTAATATGCAAATGGCCATCACGTTCTCACGCCATCACGCTGTAACGGCTCAGACACTCAACACTGGGGAGAGAGGAATGGGGACCAGACTGGCACAAATGAGCTTGCGAGAGAGAAATGGGGACCAGCCAGGCTGCGGTCCGGGAGAGGGACAAGCCGCCTGCCACATGGTCCCAGGAGCCAGCAGCTGTGCCTGCGCCTGCAGCCTGGGAGAGGGATAAGCTGCATGCTCCACGGTCCCGGGTGCCATGCGGCTGGGCTGCAGCCCGGGAGAGGGACAAGCCGCCTGCCCAGCAGTCCTGGGCGCCAGCGGCTGTGCCCGCAGCCCAGGAGAGGGATAAACCGCCCACCCCACGGTCACGGGTGCCTGTGGCTGCGGCCCAGGCGAAGCTGCCTGCCCATGGTCCCCTGCAGCTGCGGCCGGCCCAGGTGAAGCTGGCCTGGGTCCTGGGTGCCTGTGGCCGGCCAGAGGGAGGAAAGCCTGGGTCCCAGGTGCCTGCGACCAACTGGAGGAGGGAATCCTGGGTCCCTGGTGTGGGGCGAGGCAGAGGTGGTTAGGGGCGATCAGGCCAGCAGAGGAGAAGTTAGGGGAGATCAGGCCAGTAGGGGCGATCAGGCAGGCAGACAGAGGTAGTTAGGGGCGATCAGGCAGGCAGGGGTTGTTAGGGACGATCAGGCAGGCAGAGGTTGTTAGGGACGATCAGGCAGGCAGGCAGAGGGGTTAGGGGTGATCAGGCAGGCAGGCAGGTGAGCGGTTAGGAGCCAGCAGTTCTGGATTGCGAGAGGCAGTCAGACATCCCCCGAGGGGTCCCGGATTGGAGAGGGTGCAGGCTGGGCTGAGGGACCTGACCTCCCCCTGTACAAGAATTTCGTGCACCAGCCCTCTAGTCTGTCAATAATAATCCTTCTTTCCTAATTTTGCTACAAACTACAGGTTTTGAAATAAGACTGCTCAGAGTACTAAAATATTAGAACAAGAATGAAAAGTATTTTGCCCTGGTAGGTTGCTCAGTGGTTAGAGCATTGGCCTGTGGACTGAAGAGTGATAGGTTCGATTTCTGGTCAAGGTCATGTACCTTGGTTGCAGGCTCAACACCCAGCCCTGGTCAGGATGAATGCAAGAGGCAACCAATCAATGTGTCTCACGTTGATGTTTCTCTCTCCTCCCTCTTTCCTCTCTCTCTTTTCTCTTCTCTCTCTCTGTCTCTCTCCCTCTCCCTCTGTCTTCCCTTCCTTCACACTCTCTCTAAAAAAAATAATAATAATAATGGAAAAAAATATCTTCAAGTGAGGATTAAAATTAAAAAAAGAAAGAAAAGTATTTCAATCAGAGCCTAAGAGGCTCCCTTTTTAGTACATAGCTTTTAATGATATCTTTTGGCTCCTGCAGTCTTAAAAAATGACTTCTCTTACTTTCTGGTTCATGTTACAGTTACCCAATAGCTTAGTTTTTGATAGATTAAGGTGTTACTATCTAGAAATATAATTTAATTCAACAAACACAGAGTGTTACAGTGTGAAAGACCCTGTTCTAAGTGCTGAACAAATATTTAAATCATATAACCCACATAACTGTTGAATTAGATAACTATATCTATCCTTATTTGACAGATGAGAAAACTGAGGCATAGAGGTTACATAATTCACAAGGTGACACAGTTGGGATTCAAATCCAGGCAGTCTTGGCTTAGAATCAGGCATTTAAGCACTGTGCTAAGCTCCTTTTATAGATATATTTAGTAATATGCATTGCATATTCTATTAATCAAATTAGGAACTTCTTTGAGATTAAAGATAAGAGTACAGGGAATTTGTAAACGTCCATCTCCTTGTTACAATGAAGAAGGGATTAAACAGGGGTCCTTAAACTATGGCCCGAGGGCCACATGCAAATACAAATATTGTATTTGTTCCCGTTTTGTTTTTTTACTTCAAAATAAGATATGTGCAGTGTGCATAGGAATTTGTTCATAGTTTTTTTTTTAAACTATAGTCCGGCCCTCCAACAGTCTGAGGGACAGTGAACTGGCCCCCTGTTTAAAAAGTTTGAGGACCCCTGGATTAAAAGATATATCCATCAGATGTGCAGTCTTTCCAAAGTAGATCTTTAAGAAGTCAGGAAAAATATTTTTACACTAATGTAAATAAAATATTTCTTTTAGGATGCTTCAGGAAACCAGGAACTAAAAGCCAAAATAAACCAGGACTGTAAACACAGGAAAATTAGGCTTCACTTAATTCTATAAGAAAACACTATGTATACAGTGTTGACTCAAATGATTAATACATATGAACAGGCATCAGAGATAAAGCTGGAACCCTTCAGCTCTCTATTGGTAGAGATGCTACCCAAATCTGCATTTTATAAACCAGAGTTTTGGAGACCAAAGCCAGAGTGTTTTGGAGACCAAAGTCAGAGCTGAAGCCCAAATCTCAGTCCTGCAGCTGGAATCTCTAATACTAGGTATACAAGGGAAAACTCCTAATACTAGAGAGAGCAGAGAAGAGTCCCTATGGCTAGAACCTTGTTTAGATATCTCTAGCTGCAGAGTCTTGATGGCTGGAGTAGTTTCCATTTTCTTTCCTGAGTTTGGGAAAAGATGTACGTCAGGCATGCTAAAATCTGAAACACATTTCCCATAAGACTTGTGTTATATGTAGTGATTCCACTGTGAATGTAACCACAGCATTTTAGCACTGAGAACACTTGTTAAGTACTCTCACATTACAGATGAATAAATTTTGGCCCAGAGAGTTTAAGTGACTTGAAAAGCAATACACAGCTGATCTCCTAACTCTCAGGCTAATGTGTTTTTCCACTCTACTGCCTACTTTGGCTACAAGTACAAACTGGGCTGGGAACTCAACCATTATTTCTACAATGAAGCTATGAAGAAATACTTTTAAATTCCAAGTATTCAAACTTAATTAGGGAATAGCCACAATTTCCTCTCCACACTTTTTGAACAATTAATACTTTACCTAAAAATTTTAAACGTGAAACATTTTTAATCATGAAAATGTGTTTAAAATTATTTGGGTCTCCCATATTTCTTTTCTGTCATCTCACCCAAACTTATTCCTCTTTATTTGCTGGAGTTGATGTTCTTGCATCTTTCTGTTCCCTATAATAAGAGAGTCCCCTTGGTAGCTGCCCTTTCCTCGGCTGCTATCATTAGTGAACCCCCAAATGGGACAAAAATGTTAAATGGCAAACCCCAGCTCAAGTAAAATTCACTTGCAAATGAAGAAACCCAAAAATTGACCAATCCCCTCCCTACTTCACTGAGGATATCATCCTAGATCATTTATTTATATTCCTTAGAATCAATAGATTAATTTTCTTGTGAAAGTAAAGGCAGGCAGCATGAGGGTAATGAGGACCTACAGTGGACAGTGGCAATGAGAACTGAGGGTAAGAGAGAAAGACGGGTACTGGAGAGAGAGAGAGAGAGAGAGAGAGAGAGAGAGAGAGAGAGAGAGAGAGAGAAGGCGATGAAGAGAAATGTACCTGCTATGGATAAAAATATTAAACTGAAGTTTTGTGATAAAAGTCATTACCTTTAAGACAGCCAAAATATAAGAAATGATTTTCAATTATAGTTGAAATTAATTGTTCTAATGAAAACCTAAAATTATCTGAGACAGAAGCCCTTCTGAAAGAAAACTAGAAATGTTTAAAGTGTAAACCAAGCAAGCTTATTAAGACCAGAAGTAAGTTAAAGGGTTATTACTCTAGTCACAGTTATAAGAATAAAAATTAAATGAGAAAAGGATAAAAGTATTAGTTAACAACATTTACTGAGCACCCTATGTGTGCTAAAAACTATGGGTGGTAGGGAGGAATATGAAGGCAGAAAAAGATACAAACAAAATAGAAGGCAAAATAAATGAAAATTCCTGCCCTCTAAGGGCTTACATTCTAATTGGTGATATGATCTAAATATATGTAATGCAACATTATAAATAACTGCAAATAAGTATAACTCGAACAAATCACAAAAGTAGTAAGAAAAAATGGTAAGATTTATGAAAATGGATAAGAGTATAGAAGAAGTGAGTATAATTTATTCAAAAGACCAAAAAGTGAGTTCTCATTAACAAATCCTTAACTACTAACATTTATTAATCTCTTTCTATTCCCAATAACCATTCTTCTAAAACTAGAATGGGCTATCAAAACAGTGCCTAGGAGGAAGTCAGAGTCTTTGGTTTCCCTTTTTCTATTAAATAAGTAGTATTCTAGGACAACTACATTTTCTTCTGAGTTTTATCAGAACAACTCTTGTTATGAACCTAAATAAAATTTAATTACCTTAAAAAGAGTTAAGGAGTAAATCAAGACAGTTACATTGGGAAAATATTGCATGCATAATATTATAAAATCTAAAACACACACATTAACTTTATAATCAACTTTTATAGAAAAAAGAAAAGCTCCACAAATACTACTAAGTGATGTAAGCAGGCAGAAAACAGGCCTTCACACTTGCAAAGAAGCAACACACACTAATATGCATGCACACAGGTAGATTCTGAACTTTCACTAAATTAAAAGCTCAGAAGTAACACAGTTAACAAGGAAAATATGTTGAATCTGTGTATTAAACATAAAACAGATAAATCTTCACAAACTGTTAAAAATAAATTTTAAACCTCAGAAAAAATTTTTGAAAACAAACTTTCTATGCTGAATCAGTAGTAAAATAATTGTATCTTCAGTGTAGAGGAGACTATTTCCTTTGCAGCTTCCCTGATAACAAAAAGGCTGTCTGATCCATATTTGTACCTAGAATAACTGAAATGCTTTCAGATGAGAAACTGAAAAGGGGAATTATTTTCTGGGAGTACTTGTCTAGGACCATTTTAAACAATTTAATTCTAAAATTTCTCAAGATTCTGAGTTTCAAATTGTGTCTATATCAATAACACATATAACTACAATTGATAACAATTAAAATAATTTATTTATAAATTTATTCATACCACTATCATAAAATTGTTTTCAAAATACAATTGAAAAACTGCACTGAACCTCTTTGTATTAAGACTGTACTGCTACTAATAAGTGGGAAAATTCTACACAAATTCAACCAAATTGGATTGGTGGGTTTCATGGTCACAGCATGGAAGCCAGGCCCACGCTCACCTTGGACGTCTTCCTCTCCACCATCACCATCTTCTTCCTCATTGTAAGCCAGCTCAGCCTGCTTGTCTGCCTCATACTCACCTACGTTACCATCATCCCCATTATAATCCGCCAGTTTAGAGCCATGCTGCGGATCAACAGGGGATTCATTCTCATCAAAGAATCGGCCTGTGAAGTAGGTAGAGGATTAATTCCAGAGTAAAAAGAAAAGAAAAGAAGGGAGGGACCTGTACTGAAGGCAGATCAGAAAGTAGTCAAGTGAAACCTGGGAACTTTCACGACACTGGTTATACAGATATATTTTGTGAAAGTTATTCAAGACAAAAGGAAATAAGAATGGAAAGAGAAAATAATTTTTATTTAAGAAGTTTTGTGTGGCTCAGTGATTGAGTGTCAACTCATAACCAAGAGGTCACCAGTTCGATTCCTGGTCAAGGCACATCCCCAGTGAGGGGTGGGCAGGAAGAAGCTAATGCATGATTCTCTCTCATTGTTGAGTATCTCTCTTTCCCTCTCCCTTCCTCTTTCTCTAAAAATCAATAAAAACATATTTTTTAAAAAAATTTTCTTTTGTTTTAATTTTAGTAAGGTTATAATGTTTTCTTAAAGAAAAGGGTACCATATTCAGGATTGTTTTCCTAATAACCAAGGACTTCTCTGATATAAGTATTTGTCTAATTTAACACTTTAAGAGAATACTTTTATTACTAGATAAAATGCATATTTGAAATTTGCAGTCATTTATTGCTTTATGAAATAGCACTTTCCTGAATAATTTTGGCAACTTTTTCATTTAAAAATAAACAACTACACAGACTAACTTTTTTTTTTGATACTAAGAGAAACTGACACACCTGAGAACTATCTTTTTTTAAAAAAAATATGTTTTTATTGATTTTAGAGAGAGAGGAAGAGAGAGGGATAGAAACATCAATGAGATGAAAGAGAAACATCAATCGGCTGCCTCCCACATGCCTCCTACTGGAGATCAAACCCACAACCTGGTGACCTCTTGGTTCATGGGTCAACACTCAACCACTGAGCCACACTGGCCGAGCCTGAGAACTATCTTAAGTTCCTCCAGTAACAGTGATTCACTATAGGCATGAATTGATTTCCAAGGAGGGATGGCAGAGAGAGTAAACTATGAGAATCCCTAGTGGTATGTGTTTTGAAAAAACAACCCAATTACTTATGACTTATTCTTTCCCATTTCCTAAAAGTCAATGGTAGAAGAAACTTAAGAAAGTTGACCTACATGAAGCTGTGATATTGTACACATTAATAACAACTAGAAACCAAGAAGAGCAACAGATATAACACCTACACTAGAAAGCTATTAACAACCAGGCAGTGAAAATAAAAATGTTAGACAAACTAAGATCTGACTCACAAACACAAGTTAAACTCTACTTTGACATTAAATTTAAGCACCACAAAAAAAAAATTTTATTCCAATCCCTAAAATATGACATTAACTTCCTCATGGTGTAGGAATTGAAGACTTCAAAAAAATTATAACAACTTTCTGTAATAGGTCTAAAATTTTTGGAATTATACTATAAAAATTTACATTGCAATGAGACAATCAGAAAAAAAAAACTTCCTCTGCTTGGAAAGAAAGGTTAAGTGCAAATGAAAAGAAAAATATGGAGGTATTGGCTAATTCTATAGATGGTTCAACACATCATCAGGCCAATATATTTCTTTCTCTTTAAAATGTACTTATTAAATTTATAGGGGTGACACTGGTCCACATGAACATATAGGTTCAGGTGTGGGTCTCTATGTTACAAGATCTATATGTTATTCCATGTGCCCACCACCTAAAGTCAAATCTTCTCCCATCACCATATATTAGGAGCCTCTTCTCCCGCTACCCCCTTCCCTCTGGCAATCACCACGCTGCTGTTTGTATTCACGAGTTTCAGTCTTATATCCCACATCTGAGCGAAATCATATAGTTCTTAGCTTTTTCTGACTGACTAATATTTCACTTAGCATAGGTTTTCAAAGTCCATCCATGTTGTTGCAAATGGCGTTATTTCATCCCTTCTTATGGCTGAGTAGTATTCCATTGTGCACATGTACTATGTCTTCTTTATCTAGTCTTCTATTACAGGACACTTTGGTTGTTGCCATGTCTTGGCCAGACATGTAATCCCATAAAAATCCCAATTCTATTTAAATAATGCTGCAATGAATATAGGGATGCATATATCTTTGCAAATACATGATTTCGAGTTTTTCGGGTATATACCCAGGAGAGGGATTGCTGGGTTGTATTGTAGCTCTATTCCTGATTTTTTGAGGAATTGCCAGACTGCTTTCTAGAGTGACTGTACCAGTCTACATTCCCACCAGCAGTGAATGAGGGTTCCCTTTTTTCCACAACCTCCCCAACACTTATTGCTTGTCCTATATAATAAAAGCCTAATATGCTAAATGTCTGGTCATCCGTTCAACCAATCAAAGCATAATATGCTAATGATATGCTAAGGCTGCTCAACCACTCACTATGACATGCACTGACAACCAGGGGGCAGACAGTTGACCGATCGACCAGTTGCTATGATGTGTACTGACCACCAGGGGCAGACACTCCAATTGGTAGGTTAGCTTGCTGCTGGAGTCCGGCCAATTGGGACTGAGCAAGATGGGCCAGACATGCCCTGGAGCCCTCCTGTGGACCCTCCCTAGCTGGCCAACCTCCTGTGTTCCTCCCCAGCCCCGATCGTGCACTGGTGGAACCCCTCAAGGGATGTTGGAGAGCCGGTTTCAGCCCAATCCCGCAGGCCAGGCCAAGGGACCCACTGGTGCATGAATTCGTGCACTGGGCCTCTAGTCTTGTTGATAATGGCCACTCTAACAAGTGTAAGGTGGTATCTCATTGTAGTGTTTTTTTAATTTCTGTGTGTGTGTTTTGTGTGTGTGTGTTTGAATCCTCACCCGAGGATATTTTTCCATTGATTTTTAGAGGGAGTGGAAGGGAGGGGGAGAGACAGAGAGAGAGAAACATTGATGTGAGAGAGACACATCAATTGGTTGCCTCCTGCAAGTGAACTGCTGGGGATCGAGCCTGCAACTGAGGTATTTGCCCTTAAGAGGGAATCAAACTTGCAATCCTTCAGTCCTGAGGCCAATGTTCTATTCACTGAGCCAAACTTGGCTCATTGTAGTTTTGATTTACATTTCCCTAATTGCCAGTGAGGTTGAACATGTTTTCATATATCTATTGGCTGTTTGATGTCTTCTTGGGAGAGGGGTATTTCCAGGTCCTCTGCCCACATTTGGATTGGGTAGTTTGTTTAGTGTTGAGTTTTATGAGTTCTTTATCTATTTTGGAAATTAAACCTTTGTTGGAGCTACTATTTGCAAATATCATCTCCCACCTGGCTGGCTGCTTCTTTGTTTTGTTGTCAGCTTCTTTCATGGTGCAGAAGCTTTTTAGTTTGATATAGTCCCATTCATTTATCTTTGCCTTTACTTCCCTTGCCTTTGGGGTAAGTTCATAAAATGTTCTCTATGACCAAGGTCCATAAGTTTAGTACCTATATTTTCTTCTATGTAATTTATTGTTTTGGGTCTTATATTTAGGTCTTTTATCCATTTTGAATTAATTTTTGTAATCCAGTTTCATTCATTTGCATGTGACTTTTCTCCTAGCAACATTTATTGAAGAACTCTTTTCACTCCATTGTGTGCTTCTGGCTCCTTTGTCAAAAATTATCTGTCCATATACATGTGGTTTTATAGCTGGGCTCTCTAGTCTGTTCCTTTGATCTGTGTGTCGGTTTTTCTCCCAATACCATGTTGTTTTGATTTATCATAGATTTGTAGTATAATTTGAAGTCAGGCAACGTGATAACTATAGCTTTGTTCTTTTTTCTCAGGATTGCTTTGGCTATCTGGAGTCTTTTGTGGTTCCATACAAATCTAATTATTTCTCCTAATATTTCTTTAAAAAATAGCATTGGGATTTTTATGGGATTGCATTAAATCTGTATATTGCTTTAGGTAAAATGGCCATTTTAACTATGTTGAGTCTTCCAATCCATGAACATGAATATTTTTCCATTTTGTTGTGTCTTTTTCAACTTCTTTTAAGAATGCTTTGTACTTTTCATTATTTAGGTCTTTCACATTCTTTGTTAAGTTTATTCCTAGATATTTTATTCTTTTGGTTGAAATTGCAAAAGGAATTGCTTTTTTCATTTCTTTTTTTGAAGTTTTGTTGTTAGTATACAGGAAGGCAATATATTTTTCCACACTGATTTTGTATCCTGCACTTGATTGTATTTATTGTTTTAATAGGGTTTTTTGTTTTGCTTGTTTTTTTTTGTGGAGTCTTGGGTTTTTTTATATAGAGAATCATGCCATCTGCAAAAAGTGACAGTTTAACTTTTTCCTTTCCTATTTGGATGCTTTTTACTTATTTCGCTTGCCTTATTGCTCTGGCCAGGGCTTCCAGCACTATGTTGAATAAGAGTGGTGAGAGTGGCCGAAACCGGTTTGGCTCAGTGGATAGAGCTTCGGCCTGCGGACTAAAGGGTCCCAGGTTCGATTCTGGTCAAGGGCATGTACCTGGGTTGCGGGCACATCCCCAGTAGGGGGCGTGCAGGAGGCAGCTGATCGATGTTTCTAACTATCTCTCTCCCTTCCTCTCTGTAAAAAATCAATAAAATATATTAAAAAAAAAAAAAGAGTGGAGTGGTGAGAGTATACATCCTTGTCTTGTTCCTGATCTTAGAGGAAAAGCTTTCAGTTTTTCACCATTGAGTTGGTATTAGCTGAGGGTTTATCATAGATGGACTTTAATATGTTGAGGTACTTTCCTTCTGTTCCTATTGTATTGAGTGTTTTAATCATAAATGGATGTTGGATCTTATTAAATGCTTTTTCCTGTATCTACTGATAAGATCATATAATTTTTATCCTATCTTTTGTTAATGTGGTGTATTACATTGATTGATTTGGGTATCTTAATCCATCCCAGAATGAACTCTACTATTTGTGATGTATTATTTTTTGGATGTACTTTTGTATTCAATTTGCTAGTATTTTGTTTAGGGTTTTTGCATCTTTATTCATCAGAGATATTGGTCTGTAGTTTTCTTTTTTTGTGTTATCTTTGCCAGGTTTTGGTATCAGGGTTATATTGGCCTCAT